CAGGAATGTATATGAAATGTCAGATTTTATTGTATTTGCAGAGTATTAGCTTTGAAATTGAATAAAGAAAGCTGTTTGTAGTTTTAAAATGCCTTATTGGTATCAATTAGAAATTTCTTCTATTTTTTGATGTAATTAGAGCTTTTTGAGTATAGAATTTTAAATGGCAGGATTTTACAGTGTTTACATGCAAGTGCATTTTATAAGTGTTCTATATGTGTAAAATAGTATTTTCAACTGGAAAGTGTTGGCTAGTGCAAAAGACCTGGCCTTTTTCTGGTTCCCATGATGTTGCCTATTGCCTACACTGCTAGACTACAGTTTAGTATTGCTTTGTATCATGAGGCCAAGAAATTCCATGTTGTTTGTAAATAGAATAATTGAAAAAGCAATAAACATTTATTGAACAAAAGAAACCTTGTTTGGCCCAGAGTTTATGTTGAACCAAAATTTTCACAGAAATTTAAATTTCTATAGATTCATTTCTGTTAATCATCAGTTATTAATAATCACATCCATCATTAATAGTTGCTTTAATGCTTGCATCTGAGAGAATACTAATGCTTAATAGCAGTCAGATACTGATAACTGCACTGACTGTTTCAGATTCTGTATACCAAACCTATTCATTGTTGTTTTCCAATATTCTTCATTGACTGCTACTAACTATTAGTTGTTAGTTGTATTTTATTTCTATTTTTTCCTGTTAACCAATTTTATTATTTTTTGTTTTGTTTTATTTTTTTGCGGGAGTGGGCTCTTCCTCATTTGTTCAAATCATGATATGAAATTGTCATGATTTTTATTGTATTCTGTAGATGGTGTCAATCAGTTTGTCAGAATTAAACATGCTTTTTTTTTTATTAGTTGTGATTAGTTTTCATGTTGTCATTAAGCCGTCACTAGCTGGAACTAATCTCTTCTCTATCTTTTCTTTTCTTTTTTTTGTTTTGTTTTTTGTTTCTAACCACCCAGCCGCCACCGGCAACTAACCTATGACCTTCTGACCTCTGAACTCTTCACCCAATGATGACCTGACCATGCCTGCCTGCTGATCAGTTAACTGGTAATCGCCTTTGCTTGCCTGTCGTCAGTGCAGCGAGCTGAGGCACTTGTCCGTTCGTCTTACCATCTAACCAAACAAAAGACAAAGAAATTGTCCTCCAACTCAGCTTTTTTTTTTTTTTTTTTTCCTCGTTTGGGTGAAAGTGGTTCTAGAACCTGCACTGAATAGTCGTAAAGCAATAAGGCCCAATTCATCCCACAGCACTGGTCATCTTTTCATGTCCTACCCCACGCGAACGGTAAGAAGGGGAGACAGATGGCCCTTAACTACTCCATGGCAGAGGCAGTTACTGTGAGCGACTCCTAGGGATCCTCCTCTTCTCATAGCGAAGGCAAGCGCTCTCTGAATGTACTGTGTGATGATGCATCATGCATGGACCTTTGGTCAGGGATGTCACTGGGGAAGTGCTCTCAAAAAGTATTCAAAATTTGATACGCTCTTTAGTCACTACAGTGCCCTCACAGGGCAGAAGTTGCAGCCTTTTTTATATTGCCTGCCAAAATTTGAAGTATTAGAAGAAAGTGTGCCATGAGAGAGAAACTTAACAAGGAATTTTGAAAAGTAATGCAAAGAACAAAACTGCAACACTATTTTTTCAAAGATCAATATTTGAGTTAAAATTTCTGAATCTTTTACTTTACACCTCCTTTAAAAAATCTATGAGAACAAGGTACATGCATTATGTGTCACATTACTGGGCAAACTGTTCAAATATTTTTTTTAAACCTCCCTGTATAGAAAAAAATCATTAAGGATGTAAAAGCCATGCTTGCCTATTTGCTGTATACATGTAATGAAATTGTAGATAAAGTGTAGTGCATTGAAACAAATGAACAAAAAGTAGATACTTTTACTATACAAGGGTGCTGGTGCAGAAAAAAATATATATATTTTTGGAAATGTAGCATTTTATACTTTCAAGTGTTATAAAAAAAAAGAAAAAGAACAAAGAAACCCTTTATTTCATTAAATGATTTTTTCTGGTGGTTGTCAAGAAACAAAAGACCAAAAGAGCCTTTTTGTCTTTCTTTTTTATTTTTTAAGTATTGGAATAAGTCTAAAGAAAAGAAAGTGCCTTATTTTCCTTCATGGTCATTTAGTCAAGTGTCTCGTAAGATCAGCTCCTCCCTCAGAGTACAAGTTATGCATGTTACTCAGTCGCCCAGTATGTGAAAGAAGGTATGAGGGGAGACAATGAGTTGATGGTGTGAATTCTGTTCTTTGCCACATTATCTTGATGCAAATTTGCCAAATCTGATACTGTGATAAAATTTGATAACTTTTCTAATGTGTCACTAGTAAGCTTTAAAATGTAATTCTTTTAAAAAATCATAAATGAGTTCTTTTTGTTATTGCAGTCTTCCATGTTAGCCCAAAAGATTCTGAGAAAAAAATTATGTGAGATCTGAACATCAGTTTACAGAACAAAATCAGAGCTTTATTTTATTTGGACTAGGGGGATGCATTGGCTTTTTTCTTATTAATTGGAGAAAATAGCATACCCAGCAAACTTTTTCACGAAACAAACCTTTGTGGTTTTCATTCTGGAAAACAGTGTTTTTAAATAACCCAAATTTAATCAGACTTCTTTATATCATACCAGATGACTTGAGTAAGTCCATCTCTTTGATGGCTTTCATAACCTCCCCTCCTCCACACCCCATTCTTTAACTTTGAAAGAATGAAAAACTAGCATCATTATGCATATAGATGCTCAACTACATTTCAGTTTAAGCTTCCAGTTTCTCCTGAAGCTCAAGCAGTTAGTCCTGTAGTTGATGCAATTTGTGTGCAAAGCCTACATCTAAACACTTGAGTAAATAATCATTAACTGCTCAGTACCAGATGTGGCAAATCTCAAGTGACAGTGGATTCCCAGCTTATCAACTCATTTCCTCTTACATACCTTCACAGCTTCACAGTCTAAGGTCAGCAGTCAGCTCAGCACCTCCACGGTGACCTCCTCCCCCTGTCTCACTCGGAACCGTTTTCAGTTCATTTACTATGCAATAGACACTTGTTTGGTATTCAGCCAGCTTTGGTTTAGTGTGCCACTGCTTTGTTTTTCTGTTACACATACAGTTATTTGATTTATTTACGATATATGCTGTGCCATTTGATTTTTATTTTGTTTGGTTGGTTGAATAAATTTGCGACACTCAAACACTTGAGGTGATAGTTGTTAAAAACAGTACCAGTATTTGATCCAGTTTCATCTCAACTGTGTTCTACCTGGACATTTTAGGTGTTTATCAAAGGTCTTTAATGGGGAAGAAAGTAAACGTATGGAATAATAAATGTGTGGCATTAATGAGTAATGTTGGTTCTGAACAAACTTTTGAAAACTTAGTTGACAAAATTTTGGATCAACTGAAAAAAAGCATGACTTTTGAAATCTCTGAATGCCTTGGTTCTCAGTATTATTCTTTATTGAATTTATTTCATATTAAAATATGTAGTTTTTAAGACTTTTTTTTTCCTGACAGTATTATGTAATTTTTTAGTGTGGGTAGATGGGAGTGTCGCTTGTATGTTACCGTACAGCTGACATGTATTTTTGTCTATTCTTTATTATCTTTGTAGTTTCATGCTATATATGTACCATAACCAACCTATTGCCTATGAGAAACATGTAAGATAATGTATTTACAGCCATTGTTACAAGTTTATAATGTATTTTTCTATCTTGTTTTATATGTATGTTATATAACATTCAAAAAGAATTTTTTTCTTGATTGAGAAAAGGATACAAAATGCAAAATCCACAATTTTGATAACTGAAAATTGCCAATTGTTTTGCAGTACTTTATTATATTGGGTGTCTTGTCTTTCTTGAGCTTTTAGTTAGCTAATGAATGAATACATTAGACATTTTTGGGTTTTAGTTGGGACTTTACATAGCTTGCATTTTAATCTTTGGTTCTTTGCTGTTTCTATTAACCCATAGCATTATTTTAATAAATGTTATAATACCAACCTACTAACTGGACTGTGTCTGTTTATTAACCTTTACATGTTTAATTAAAATAAATGAATAAACACAAAAGAATATAGTCTTGAGTTACTGGACTAACCCTGAAGAACATGACCACAGATAACATAGTTTGACTTGTTTTTTTTATTTTTTTTATGTTGTTTGTCAGCTGACAATTCTGCACACTGCTGTTAAAATGGCTTTGATTATTCTGGCCTTTCACCTTGGTCCAGGGGCACGGAGGTGGGGGAGTGGGGTAGGATGGATAGAGATAGGAGCAAAGTAGTATTTGTTTGAGGCATTCTCTTCCTAGTCTTGCCACTTGCCTATTAGCATCTACATTACTAATTCCACATTTTCTTTTTATCTTCTTGTCCAAAATAATCACTGTCTGCTCACAGCATAAAGTACAAAGAGATTTGTTGTAATGATACACCCTGAGAAACCAGTTTGATTCTTTGTTGAACCATTTCTCTTCATTTCTGTAAGCAGGTAATTTTATGGTTACCTTATAAAGCAAAAAATCAGCTTTATGTATATTTTAATTTTGACTTGGCATTTTTCCTTTGTAAAGCATTGAAATTGTTTAGCCAGCTGCCAGTGGAGCTCAACATAGGTAAAGCCAAAGCCAACCTGGCTCCATTTCTCATATGGTCCGACATAAGAACGGACTCACGCCTCTCCCCAACTCTCCCTCAGCACGTTACTGACTTTTTCTTAGGTGTTTTTCTCTGTCATCCTCGTCTAGGTTATAGGCAGACTAGGATATTAATAGAGGCCTAAAGGGGAAGAACACAGAAATTCAACTAGTTTTACCTATGTGATTAATTTCTTGCACACAGATCAACTTGAGAAAGTTTTTAAATATCTTCATGCTTTCTTAGCTGCAAACCTGGGTAAACTGACCTAATTATAAGTTCTTTAACTCTTGAGGTACATTTTTATTGCACAGATTATTGTCTTTTCTGTGAAACAGTTCACCTGGCTAATAATGAAATTTCTCAGGATGGATTTTTGCATTTGTAAATAATGACTTATTTTTGTAAATTACATCTTATTTATATATCTGGCATTCTAATATTTGAAACTGGAATGAGTTAAATGTGGTAGGAGATAAAACTATACCAGTATGTTCCTAACTAATCAAAAGTCTCATATTAGTCTTATATTTACAACAGATTTACTCACCACTGAGACAGTTATATGGGTCGTTCTTCTGTGGAGACAGGTGGGCAGCACTGTCCAGGATCTTTCAGGTGCTTCTCTTTGTAGGAGTTCCCACTGCTCTAAGTTTGTTATTCTGTAGAAATTTGAAGTTGTATGTCAAGCTGCTATCTGCAAGTTTCGTGGTACCATGTCACTTAAATTGATGAATTTCTGTGCAAGTCACTATTCTCTGAAGCCTGTAAAGGCAGTTTTATCTCACTTTCAGTTAAGGGTACTTTGTCTAATTATGTATTGTCACTTTTTATATTGAAAAAGGTAGTTTTAAAAGGCAAAAATAGAGTCAGCTAGGTGCATAGTGGTTAAGACAGCTGGATCCTACATGGACAACTGTGCAGGTTGACTCCTGGACCCAGCTGCTTGAAAAACATGCACACATGTGCACGTGCCCGAAATCCTAAGAGGAGAATGGAGGAGAAGGGATTGCGGCATGGGGAGGGTAATTTCTCTCTCTCTCTCTGGCAAATGCACATGCACTATAGCAAATTAAATAAAGGTGAAAACATCACAAATGTCATGTTTATACAGGTTGCAGTAGTAGTAAATATGAAGCTACCAAATTTCTAGAGTGATAAATTCTAGAATCAGTTTATTATTTGTACTGTTACTTCACATAGCTGTTGAAAGTTGAGTGTTTTGTCAACAGTTTGTGACCTTAATGTACTCAGTTCACTATTGCTTTTCATTAGGTAAAATGCCAGAGAGGCTGTAGCATGGAGGAAGGTGTGTGTTCACACCCACTCCAGTGCATGCAGCAGCATGTGTGAGGAGCCACGGAAGTGCTGGCCGTGCAGTGGAGTTGAGTTTGGAATACACAGAAGAGGTATTGGTTAAGATTTTCTACAAAAGACTAGGTAAGGGCTAGATCTGAATTTTGTAGAGCACCAGAAGCAGAGCCAAGTTCAAATGAAATTGCTTAATACTAAATCTCCCTTGACAACAAAGTCTAACAGTTCTCTGTCGCAACGTGTGAGACACTCTGGTTTCTGCGGTGATTGGAGCTTTTCGTTGTCATGTTTGGCTGAGATGGGATGTCTGCCTTTATTCTTCCTTTTTTTTTTTTTTTGGGAGAGGTTTTTGCTACAGGGTGCGTGCGCTCGCTGGACAGAAACAGAGAAATCACCCCCCAGGGGGGATGTCCACGCCACAATCCCTTCTCCTCCTCTGTTCTCCTCTCGGGATCCTGGGCACGCACGCACACGCACCTGGAGTGAGTTTAAGCCACCGGGTCCGGGACTCGAACCACGGTCGACTACGTGGGAGTCCACCAACATAGCCATTACGCTAACTGCTGGTCCCGCCTGCCTTTATTCTTTGATAGCAGCTAGCTGCTAACAGCATTTCCAACAAGTGGATTTGTATAAAATGGGATATGTTGCCAAACGATAACTCATTAGTTAACTAAAATTACTCTAGAAAACTTGAGACTCACCACACATTTTCTAGGTACATAGGTAATTTTTTGGCATTGTCACAAGTTCTTTACTCCAGTTATATAAAACGGAATAAGCAAATCTGACTCATTTTATGGACAGAACTGTTTTAGAAAGAGTCTTATGGTACATACATCACCTTACCTGTGGCTTTTTCAGCATAAAACCACATACATGGAAATGTCTGCTACGAAGAGAGGCAGTATGTGATGCACACCTGGTACTCAATGCTGAATCAAACTGGTTCCCCTCGTCATTAAGCGAGATCCCCCCCTTTCTGTGTTTCTGCTGCACTAACTGCCAGGGCGTGGGAGAGGAGGAGGAGGACTGAATCCCTGTTAAAAGTGGGCAGGCAGTAGGTGCAGTAAATGGAAGCACAGTGTTGACTTCATGTTGTGTAGAATTTTGCTGTCCCTTCATGACAGAAGATTACCATGTTCTGGGAAGAGCTCAACTCCTGGGGAAAAATGTATTGTTTAAAACATGCTATTAAGTTTTGATTACCAAATACATCTTTAATGGTCTATGTTGTAGTAGTTTGTATAAACACTTAGAACTTCCTGGTGAACGGGGGGGGGGGGGGGAGGTAATCCATGCAGAAGTTGGCATAGGTATTCGTCCCCAGATCCCACGTGAACAGAGAACTACTCATGGCTGTCAATGAAGTGCAATGAGCCAGCTAGAGGAAGTGCATGTTCTTCATCCTCCAGCTACTGCAGATAACTATGCTACTTACCCCCCCTCCTCACCCCCTGAAATATATGTATAAATAGCAGAATAAAAAATGGACATGTACAGTTTTAATTTTTTATTGATGCTTTTGACACTTCTTAAAACTTTGAGAAAATGGCCTTCTGGAATTCTAATATCATTCACCTGAAAGACAATCATAATCTTTGCTCTGGTTGTGATAATTTTAAAAAGAAAATCAGTAAACAGACTTGTACAGTGTTCCACAGGTGGTCTGGGTTCCCACACTGTTCACATTTCTAATGGCGTGAAGAAACTCTGGTACAATATGTATGACCTTTTTAAATCTAAGGAGGAAAGGTCTGCTGACCAAATCTTGAGCTCAGTCAGCTCTGCTCAAAGGGTGTGGCCATTCCCCTTGGGGGGTGATTTCTTGCTTTCTATTTCTCTCCCAGGCAAGTGCATGTGCACTGTAGTAAAAATCTCTCTCATACACACACAAAAAGGATTCATGTCACCAGTTTCTTAAAGTAGAATTGATAAAATGATTGTTTACAGTAGTTTGAAACTTCAAGATACTTTGTTATCGGTGTGGTGCAACTCTTCAGATTTTAAGGTTTTCAGTCTTTCTCATTTCTTCACATAACCTCTAAATTCCTTTGCCTCCTTTCTGCTCATTGGAACCTTGGTTTTCTTTGTCGGTAACTTCCATTTCACACCCTTCTGTTTTTTGTTTGTTTGTTTGTTTTTAGATTTTTGCCATAGGATAAAGAGCTTATAGGAGACAGAGAGAAAATGAGCAATCACCCCCCCCCCCAGGATATAGCCATGCCGCAGTCCCTTCTCCATTCTCCTCTTGGGATTTTGGGTATGTATACACATGTGCTGTGCATGATTTTCAAGCTGCTGGGTCCAAGCTTTAAACTGCTGAGTCAACGACCTGGCCCCCTTCTGGCCCCTCCTTTCACACTTCTGAAAGTAGCTAATGGGTAGGATCCACAGCATAGTACAGCCGAGCAGTGCAAGGACATGTTTGGCCTGTGTAGTATGTTTTATCTTTTTAAATTATGTGGCCAGCAATTAAAGACTAAAGGTAAGGCCTTTAAAAAAGAGTCTGCTCGTAAAAGAGCAGAATATATAGAAAGCTGGTGTATGTGCTTACATAGTAGCCATCAACTGAAACAGTAATTTATGCCAAGTGTGCCTTGGTTAGTCACTGCCACACAGTTTATTTTCTCTGGTATCTGACTTGGGTGGTTGGTTTTCCTGTCTTTAGTTTCTTCTCCTCCCCGTTTCCTGTAGACATCTGTGCTTGTCTGTCTTGATCCAGAATGGCCACTTGACTCTCCAAACACCAAACCAAGTTCTCAAAAGGGATAATGTAAAATAAGCTTTAATATTTTCCTCCTGAAATACCAGGTGAATAGAGTTTGTAAATATGTAGAAAAGAGTAATCTGACACTAATTCATGCAGGGTTTTTTTTTTGTTTTTTGTTTTTGGTTTTTTGGTTTTTTTGGGGGAGAGGTTTTCGCTATAGGGCATGTGCACTCGCCCTACAGAGACATAGAGACAGAAAATGAGAAATCACCCCCCGGGAGGATGGTCACGCCGCAATCCCTTCTCCTCCATTCTCCTCTCGGGATCTTGGACACACACGC